TTATTAACACTCAAATGGCTGTTGTCCAGTTGATTGATTTACGTACTAATAATGTGTGTGTGTGTGTGTGTGTGTGTTTTGAGGCACAGCCATATTTTTTCTTAACATTTTGCACCTATTTTTGGAGGCACCAGCATTAGAAATGAATTATGTGTATGTAATAGAGTGGTGTGTTCTGTCCACTGCCCTTTCCTCCATGGGGAGTTGGATGATTCCCTGTTTCAGTTAGCAGTGCTTTGCTGCAGGCTAGGAAATGGCTTCACATAAATGCTGGACACAATGAGAAGAAAGGTGGATCAGCACGGTCGACCCATGTAGCTTTAGAACAAATGGTTCTTAGTAGTTTGAGCAGAAGAAGATTTGGGATTGCCCTGGTGAGTTTTTACTGGTTTGGAGAGGGCCAGTTGATTATCAGTTTCATTAATTAATAAGATTGATAAAATATTTCAAAGCTAATCTCTACCTTTAACCCTTTGTTGTTTGCATTGGCTCTCTAGTAATTTATAAAATAGCCTTCTGTGGTTTGGGGTTTTTGTTGTTGTTGTTTTTGGTCTGTTCTTTCTGATAAATACTAAAATAATTTTGTTTCCGAGTTATCATTAAATCCACCCCAAGTAGTGTTCATTTCTATTGTAATAATCCTTGTGATAATATTTCTCAGGGAGAAGTTTATACAAAGGTAAATATACACCTTTAGGAAAGAAAGAAACTTGTTTTCCTTTCAGGAAAAATTACCCTTAAGGAAGGGAAAACAGGTGATACATTGTGTCTTCTGCCTCTCATTTAGATTATTGCTGTTGGCATATGGTAGCGGACTGTGCTGGTTATAGTACTTACCCCAGTTTACCCCAGTTACTGGCCTACGTGCTCCAAACACAAGTTTCTTCCTGAAAATACGCTGCCAACAAGTAGGCACTTCATTTAGGTATTGGAGGATCTACAACGGTGTTTTTAAATTTTAAATATTGTTGTCTCTTGGGTATTTGTGTAAGGACTTTGTTAAGGAAACATTTGTCTTTGTTAAATTATAACTGTATTGGCTGCGGCATTATCAGAATATTAGCCCTGTTGTTGAAACTTCAGGGCTGCTTATTACAGATTTAAAGTTTTGTTCCAGAGTCCTTATCAGTTCAGAGCAGACAAACCACAGATGGAAGAATCAGACGTTGTTATTGGAAGTTTTGACTCAAATTTGTTATTTTTATGTGCGAAGCAATGTATTAGAGACTGAGGGAGGGCCTAGAACAGTGAATCAGAGACTCCCTCAGGAAAGCTACCCTATAGTGGGAGCGTTGATTGCTAGTTCTTTATATAGTTTACTCCTCAAAACAAGCTTATTTTCATTTTATAATTAATGAAATTGGAGCTCACATGCATATCAGAGAGCTCATTCAAAGATACAGCTATTAAGTTGAAATACCAACTTATTTCTTCCCTGCTGCAAACTCCCAGGTGTCCCTTGCACCATGCAGTGTGGCCAGGCTCGTAGGCTAATGGAGGAATTAATGAGGCACTGAGTGCGGTGAGCCTGGCCTCCCATCCCAAAGTGAGCGTTAAGATACTTAAGATCTGTCTGAATGGTGATTCTGGCAAGTCATTGACCCCTCTGAGTGTCAGAATTCTTTCTCTTCACTATTTTTCTGGAACTCCTCTTGTACCTGTTGTAAAGAAAAGGAAGAAATTCATACCAGTCTTCCTCTAGATGATGAAGTGACTTGAAGGGGCTGCAGAGCATAGTGGTGTAAAAGTTGAGGTTTCATGGACAGCTAATCCTGGCTGCATCTCAGCCGTGCTCCTTGGCAAGCTGTCTGATCATAGTTAAAACATACTTAAAACCTCTATGGGCCTTTTGTACCCCCCTGTAAAGTCAAGATGATAACAGTACCTAGTTCATGTTTGAGGAATTAAATGCTGAACTCCTAGTATCTGGCACATAGTAGCCCTTAATATATGTTAGTTATTATTTTTTGTTTGGTCATTACACACCAAACTTTAAGGTTCAAGAACTTGATTTTACCAATCTTTTCAGGTCTGATAAAATTCTGTGGACTTAGTCAAAACAGGCCAAACTTGTATTTGGTTGAATAATTAAACACAATGCTAATGTATTAATTTATTTAAGGTGTTATTCTAATAACAGCTACACTCAGGTATTGTGTGATATTGAGGTAACCAGGCAAACTAAGTTAATATTTATTAACATTTATCTAGTGCAAATGAAATCAAAGGTAGTTTTAATAGGCTGCTTTATATAGGCTAGGTGTAGAACCTGGAGATTTGTTTCTTTAAAAACATCAACAGAAATATTATTTCTCTGTAGACATGGGTACTATTGCTTGCTGGATCTCTACCCTTGGGTTTACTCCTTTTTTTCCTTTTATCTCAACATTTTATGTGAGATCAGTACCAGAATCACATTAATAATGGAGATTTTGTATTTTTAGTTTCCTCTTAAAAACGGTAGTAATCTATACATAAGGGATTTTCACGAGGATGATTGAGGGATCTCCTCCTTTCTATGCTTGCCTTACCAGATTCATTCTTGATCATTTCCTTTGTGTTCTTGGCCAAGTTGGGCATTCCCTCCCAGATCTTTGATGTCTGGTATTTTCGAGTTTTTTGTGGACAGTTACCAGGGACAGTGGTGCTTTCTTGTCTTTGGGATCCACAGGTACACCTGTCTTATTCTTGTCACAAATGATGTAAAATTACTCTGTTAACAAAATGATCAAGTGGGAGGTTACTTTGCCTTTTTGGTTGGTTTAACTTCATCTATAAAGCATGAGCCCTTGGAGGAGCCAGGGCCAATTAATATTTGAGACCGTTAGGTGTGATATACAGGTGATTTCAGAGTGGTAGTGGTGATGATAGTATCAGAATCCTAGGATAAAAGTAGGACTCCCATAATAAACACATTTATGCAACTAAATGTGTAGAATAATTCTTGTTTCCTACTGTGTTGTCTTAGGATAGCCTGAGGAGGGTGGTGGATAGGGAGAGTAGAGAAGCATTTGAATGATGAAAGGGAGGGGTGCAGGGAGGGGACCTGTGAGCAAAGGGGAGCTGGGGAAGGAAGCCCTGCAGGGGGAGGTGTTCAGACAGCTCCTGGCACCCAGGAAGTACTTGGTGCCCAGGAGCTATTTGTAATACCAGTAATACTGTACTTAAAGTAGTAGTAATAATAGTACTATACTGTACTGACATACACATTTACAGTTTAGGGGCATCTTTCACATCTGGAGGTTTCGGGGTTGCCAGACTAAAAGATAAACCTTCAAAAAGGATGTTTAACTTTTCTTTGCTGCTTGACCTAGGCTAACAGAGAGGCAGTTTATATGATTTTGAGAGCCTGGGGCAGGGCTATTAATATAGTTCCCATTTTGCTAACTCATAAAGCGTTTTTCAGTCTCATGCCCATAATCAATGGCCCTACTTCAATCCAAGATCTGTGGTTCAATGGTATTTATTTATTTATTTACACACAGGCTCGCTTACTCTCTGTTTTCCCTGGGGCAGTGGGAAATGGGTAGGATGGACTGACTGCCTAGTGGTCGGACAGGATCTGAGCAAGCACAGTAAAGCTTTGGGGCTAGAAATATGTCTTAATGTCTCATTTTCTGTTTTAATTTTCATATAGTTTATACAGTTAGCCACATTCTAATATCCCACAACCATAACAATTATTAAGGCATAATTATTAGTGAAGAATAAGCAAATAGATTAGGAGGAAGTAGAGAAAGCTTACTTGTGATGGGCTTTGAGCCCCTAGAAAGGCCATTGCCAGGAGTAAAGCTAAGGAGTGACATCATCTGACTTACTTTTAACAAAACTTTGGATGGATTCTAGGTGTCTACTGAAGGTGGAATGACTTGACGTGCTAGCGTGGAGGGCGAGAAGTGGGGACAACTGATGAGCCATGGACCTTTGGTGGTGCTGGGGGCAGTGAGGGTAGCCAAGGAGTTAGAAACACTCCCTATGCTTTTTTCGTGTTCAGGCAAATAATGGGGAACACAGGAGCTCTGGACCTTACCCTTCCGCTCCCCTTCCCCCCTCCCATCTCCCCAGGGAAAGTGTAACCCACCAAACAAGAACCAGATTCTCTCTGATACAGTGGTTCAGCTGTGGGATATGAACCACTGAGTCTTATGGTTGTAGCAAAAGGCCTGGAAGCCCACGTAAGTTTCACCTGACTGACTTGCATTTTAATTAAAAAGGGAAACAAGGAAGTAACAGGAAAGAACATCGCATAGTTGCATGGGCTACAGTCTTAGAGTAGTATTCCTTCACTTGTAAGACCATTGTATTTTTTTCTAGAAGTAAGGTTTTGAGAAAAATCTAAATTGTGTTCATTGATTTTGGCCAAGTAGTTCATATTAAAATTAGTTACAGTTATATTCTGCAAAAGTTAAAGAGTTTCCATTTATTCACATTCATGGTAGAATTGGGGCTAACATTTCCCCTGTGGAAATGGTCTCTTTCTTCATTGAGGCTTTATATTCCCCAGGTTGGGCAGGACCTAAGGGACTGATAAGCGTGGACTTTGGGGACCCGTGGATCTGGATTTTAACTCTGGATTTGCCATATAACTACTTGAACAAGCAATTTAAACTTTGTTTTAAGGACCAAATCTTGAAAATAGAGTTTAATAATAAATCTACTTAACTGGGCCATTATAAAGACATAGTAAAATACTACATGTCAAGGTGTGCCTGGTACTTGTTGAAGACTCATTAATATTAGCTGTTACTAACAGCTGCCTCTACACTGTTGTCTTAGATGTGAGACGAGTAAGCAGAAGTTGTAAATAACTTATCCCGAGTCACATAATTAAATTTGAGGACTAAAATGCCTTGTCTCTCAGTTTCTGTCTCAGATGTTCATGGTAATGAAACATTTTTAAAAAGTGATGAATAGCCTTTTTCATTTATTATTGTTATAAAAAGTGAATCTTTAGAATGTTATTTTTCCAAAAATGTATCTTTTTGTTTTCTTTTAGGATTTGGAGTTTCATGGAGTGATGAGATTTTATTTTCAAGATAAAGCTGCTGGGAATTTTGCAACAAAATGCATTCGGGTCTCTAGTACTGCCACCACTCAAGATGTGATCGAGACACTGGCGGAGAAATTCCGGCCTGACATGCGGATGCTGTCGTCCCCCAAGTACTCCCTCTATGAAGTGCACGTCAGCGGAGGTCCGTGCGTGCACACACGGGGCACTGGCGGGGTGTCCCTCTCTTGGATAGACCAAAACACTTGTTGGTCCCCAGGGCAGCTCAGTTACAGCCCTGCTTTCCTGCAGGTCCTTCTCTTTCTGGAGGGGCTGGGGAGCATTTGACAGGCGGGCAAAATGTTTGCGTGTCTGCGAAATGTTCTTATGAGATCTTGGCACATACATCTGTGGGAAGTTAGAGTGAATGTGTTAATTTAATACATGCTTATTTCTTCAGAGATAAGTAGCATGACATTACCTCATTAAAATTAGCCAGCAGTTCCAGGTGTCATACACACACTGATGATGCAATATGCTACTTGCTTTTGGAGCAATAGTTCATGTAACTCTTATGTGTAGATTATAATATTACAATTAATTTTAACCCAGTTAAATATTATATGAGTTATCAGTCTTACAAAAATGAGTATTTTGTAATGTGAGATAGTATATTTTCATTATTATTTGGGAATAATTAGGGCATCTTGAGGAAATTGTCTTATGTGTAGTTAGTGATTTCTCCTTGTTTTTAATGTTTAAAATTTCTTAAAATATCCTCTGTATCTATATCCAGTAGCAATTTTAAGTTGGACTGATTAGAAATGTAGAAATTTCTAAAAATTTTTTATGAGTGCTTTGGAAGTATTGAGTTACCTATAAAAAATACAAATCTCAATTAATGCAGCAAATAAAAGATTACATACAGCCCAAACCAAAATTTAATACCTGTTAAATTCCATCCCCAAGTCCTCTTGAACATAAGTGATCTGTCTTAACTTCAGAATGACAGCTGTGTGTGTATATTTGAAATTGGGGGAAAAGTTTTGTATTGTGTGGAATTTGGGTATGGCCACACACTTTTTCCCCAGTAGAGTATCAGATAGGTCATATTCATTTATTACTCTGTTAACGTTATGAGGGTATCCCACTACACAGACGATACCCAAACTGGATTTGACAACAGAGGATACTTCACTTTGGATGGTTTTTCTGAGGTTGACTTTTTCCTTTACTCAGAATCATTATAACCAGGTTATCGAGAAGAAAATACTCTCACTTTCAGACCTTTTTGTGTTTTTACTTTTTGGTCATTTGAAAACCACCAAGTGAAGTCTTTGGAATAATATGTAAGATTGGAATTTGAGATCTAAAAATGGAATGATTTGATTTTTTTAAAAGAAACTTTTTCTTTTACATTTCCTTTAATTAAAAAGTAAACTCTCTTATCTGTAAGGGGGTGAGAACAAATAAAGATGGGTGGAGAAGAAGGGGAAAGTCTTGCCCACACCCTGAGGAGAGTGGCCAGGACATCTGGCTCTGTCCCTCACACGTCCATGCTCACCACAGTGGGTCGCACCTGGGCCTCAGGTATAGGGGGAGAGCCCTTGTCTGCACGATCTCAGTTTTCAGGTCATGGAGCCCTTAGGGTGTCAGTGATTTTTCAGTGGCACCTCTGGGCGAAAGGGAATACCTAACATTTCATTTTATTCAGTAGTTTGATTCAGACAAGTTAATAAGTATTTATGCTCTAACAACTTGGTAGATGTTTGAAAAAATCGTGCACATAAAATGAAAACTAAAATTTTCATCCCTGATGGGGATTATGTGCCCTCATTTCCCATCCTGGTTGGTTTGGGCAGTGCTGCTGGTTTTGTCCAGCACCACGGAAATCCCACCTTGATATTGACGTTGATGCTAGCAGAAGGGACGATGAAGTCCGGTGTGGGCTAGGGGCTGCCTGCAGCTAGCAGTTCATGCAGCATCTGCCTGATGCAACTTGTTTCCCTGAAGATTTAAAATACTCCTCCTCAGCGAGTGTTCAGGGCACCTCACCTCATGCTTGTGAACTGTAGGTCCAGTGTGCTGAATCCCAGGCCCCAACCCGCACTCCACCACCAGGGAGACTCCACTCTCATCCTTCCTGTGTTTTAGGATTCCTTATGTGAAATCAGCTGGGAAAACAGAAAGGATTCCGCTGTTAAAAAACAATATGAGAACCTCTAAGGCAGAAAGATATCTTAAAGTTATAAAGTTGTGGTAGGATCCTGACTGTATTTACATTTAATAGTTAGGCTCACAGGCTTTAGAATACCCCACCCCTGTTCTTATTTGACTTTTACAATTTCGACTTAGTTCTTAAAATTAGTTCTCTAAAAATATACTATGAAGGATTTTGATCTAATACAAACTTTGCAGTAAGAAGAACTTGGTAATTGTGGTTTGTAGCAGGAATTTCAAACTTCATCCACTTCCTAATTTATTGTTCTCATTTTCATTTCTCGTATTTTCGGTTCATAAAATAAGATATTTGAATTTGTTATTACTGTGTTATAATTAACATTGCTGTTTATATACAGTATTTACTAAAAGCCTGTCTTAAGTCTATTTATCCTTTAAATTTTGCCCCGTTAATTCCTGCTTCCTTTACCACAGTAGTTCTCCAGCTGGCCTCCACCTCCTGTGCTTGCTCTGCTCATTGTAGACATCCTGTCAACAGTTACACGGATGATCTTGGCCCACTGTAGGCTTCTGATAGGTGGCCGAGGTGTGCCAGGCCCTCAGGGAGCCCGTTCCATCCCATTCCTGACCAGTAGGCCCTGAGGCATGTTAGATGTGTATGTAGCAAGCAAGGAAGGAATACTCTTAAACCTAAGGCTGTCCTAACGAAGAGATGGGATGGTGGTTTCATGGTGGGACGTGCTGTGAGGGCTGGACCTGGTGAGTTTGGGAGAGGAGAGGTAGCAAGAGGAGCACAGCTGTTGTCGTGCGAGAAGGAAATCTCACACGTCAGCCGAACTCCTGTGTTACGTTAATGTTCCCTTATTTTCCAGTTGCATATATGAGGTAATTTGATTTACAGAATTAGCCTGATAGCAAAGCCCTATATATTTTTTTTTCCAGTTTGTGTGTATTTCTCTTATTTTCCCAGTTGGATTCTAAATGTTGTAAGGCATTATCCCTGGTCGGTGTTTGGCACTGGGTACATGGTAGTGTATATTATAGTGGCAACAAAATAGTAAATAATTAAAACTAACGTAACATTTTGAATTACATTTCGGCCTGTTAGTAAATACTTGTGGTGATAAGGTATTTATGTCTACAAAATTAAACGTGTTTGAGAATGTTGTATTAGCTGGTGCCATTAAATAACCATGACTTAACTTTTTTTCATTTCATGATTTGAAGAAGAAAGAAGATTGGCTATAGATGAGAAGCCCCTGGTCGTTCAGTTGAATTGGAACAAAGATGACCGGGAGGGCAGATTTGTTCTCAAGAATGAGAACGATGCCGTCCCCCCTAAGGTAGGATCCCTCAGCCTCTCGTGCTGACGGTGTCCCCCCTAAGGTAGGATCCCTCAGCCTCTCGTGCTGACGGTGTCCCGGGCCCAGGTCTGACCAAGACGAGCACGAGACTGGCATGTTAATTAGTGTCATAGAACTCCACGGAACTTTCCTGTTGGCCGCTTTTCCTAAGTGACTTTTTTACCCACCTCCCAGAAAAAAATTGAAAGGAGTTCTACTTATCCTTGTTTCATCCTCTGTTTCACTAACTACTCCCTGATGTTGCTCTTTACTTTTGCAAAGAAGCATTATGGAAGCTTTTGTTATTAGAAGATTTAATGATCAAGTAATCAGCTCCAGGTTTTTTACCAAATTAGAAATTCAAAATATGTTTTAAGAAGAATCACAACCTATTTTGTGTGACTTTTCAGATACAACTTAATAAGGCACATTTAAAACCTTTTCTGTACTCTGTGTAAGATTAGACGTTAGCCAACTGTCTGGGCTGATGTAATGCAGTGCAGTGATACCAAACTTTCTTCGGTAGTGGGGTGTCTGGAATTCCTATGCCGCTGTGCTCATGTGGAACACTGTGAAATACAGATAAGATTTGAAACTAACGATGATTTCTGTGCTAAATCAAGTGGCATCTTACACTAGAATTCATTATTGACAAGTGATAGCAAATGCAGAGGTCAAGAATATTTTGAGAAAAATCTTCTATTTATTTTCCTCAACAGATTGGGAAAAGAGTGCCATTGTTCACTTCTGGAAACAGAAAATTTTCACTTTATTTGTGTGATGTTAGTGTTCAATGTTGAAGAGTTTTAGATACACAAAATGTGTTCTTGGCCTTGGCCTGTGCTTTAGTGGCTTGGTATTTGTAGCAAATACAAATACATATAAAGTAATAATGAACATCTCTCTTTTTTTTTGGTCCATGTGTTAGTTCATTTCTGCACCATGATTTCAGCTGTGGGCCAGAGATCCTCATTCATGTGGATCAGAGGTCTTATTAGGGTTAGGACAGTGCTGACGTGGCTAGCAGTGAAAATGGAAATGCTAACTTAGATAAAACAGAAGGTAGTTTATTTCCCAATACAGTAACCATTCTTTCGTGTTTTTTCTTAATTCTTTACCAGTCAGCCTATTAATTATACCAAAAAATTAATGTCTATGTCATCTGCTAGCAGGCCATGTTGTAAATTAAGAATAAACAAGCAGATAAACAAGATCTGGAGAAGAAATTAGAAGTTTTTGCACAAATAGTACTTATAATTTGCTTGAAATGAAAAAGCCAGTTTCTTACAGTATGCTTAACATTTCTTTTGAAGTTAGAGAAAACATGTATAAAGTAGATGAAGATTTAAACAGTTATTTCCTTTTTTTAAGATTTTATTTCTTAGCGAGAGAGCAGGGGGAGGGGCGAAGGGAGACGGAGAAGGACGAACAGACTCTGTACCAAGTGCAGAGCCCAGTGCGGGGCTCAGTCCCACAGCCCCAAGAGGATGACCTGAGCTGAAATCCGGAGTCCCACGCTCAGCCGACTAAGCCACCCAGGCACCCCAGTTATTTCCATATTTTGATTAGGCGGCTTTTTTAAGAGTAGCTATGTAAACTACTTGGATTTTTATTTATTGAAAATCAGATTTCATGATTCCTACCCTAGTTTTCTTGGTGGGTTTGGTTTTCTGTTTGTTTGCTTGCTTGCATATTAGTTTTGAATTGCAGTAAAATATACACATGGTGAAAGGCACAGATCTTGGATGTATAATTCATTAAGTTTTACTAAATACATGCCTGTAACCATTAGCCCAGTCAAGGTAAAGGACATTTCCATGCCCCGGATGCAGCTGGGTTTGGCGTTAACATGTGAAATGAAGTTAGCTAGCCATAGAGAACTTTCTGTGATTCTGTGTAACAGCCGCCTTAGTGATGATGCTACTTTTATCAGAAGGCTCAAAGCAATGGACCTGAAAAGCAGGAGAAAGAAGGTGTTATCCAGAACTTCAAGAGAACTCTCTCAAAAAAAGAAAAGAAGGAGAAAAAGAAGAGAGAAAAAGAGGCAGTGAGGCAGGCGTCTGATAAGGACGATAGGCCTTTCCAAGGGGATGACATGTAAGTAATTCTGGAAATACCTATTTCCTTTTGCTCTAATAAGCTGAATGTTTTTAATGTAGCAGACCTCATCAAATTACCAGATAAACTGTGAAGAGAATGAACATCCGTTACGAAGTTAATTTCGGTACCCTCTGGCTCTTGTGTGTGGGGAAGGTGGAGGGTCTCACCTGAGCAAGGTTTACAGCCCACCGTACCTGTCTCGTGGGTTTGGTAATCCGAAAGAAGCAACCTGGTGAACAGTATTGTTTTTTTCTGAGTAGACCATTGATGTCCGTATTCTCTTCATCTCTGGCCTTTGTTTCTGGCTTTTTTGGTCCTTAAGGCGGCAGTGCCTTCCTGCAGACCCTAACTATGCTGAACACTCATCACAGGTGGGCAAGAACAGCGAGAGGGGCAGCTAAGGTTCAGATGCACCATCTAGTTGACTCCAGCCCCACCGGCTCCCATTCCTTACTTTGTCACACCAGCCCCATCTTAGTTGTACTTAGCTCTCGGAAGGCATTTGAACTTCTGACCGAGTCAGGCCGTTCGTTAGGCCAGCGCGCGTTGTGCACTTCCTCCTAGGCACCTCCTCTCCTGGCTGGGGACGGCAGCAGAGCGTCCGCACTGTCCTTCCAGTGCTGAAGTAGCGGGCGTGCGTGTTAGGACGCCAGAGCATACGGATTGGTCAGAAGGAGAGCCTAACCTGTCATCGCAGGAGCCCAAAGAGAGCTGTAGGGTTTTTGTTACTGTTTTTTTAAGATTTTATTTATTTATTGGTCAGAGACAGAGCACAAGCGGGGGGAGCAGCAGGCAGAGGGAGAGGGAGAAGCAGGCTCCTTGCTGAGCAGGGAGCCTGACATGGGGTTCATTCCCAGGACCCTGGGAGCATGACTTGAGCTGAAGGCAGATGCTTAACAGCCTGAGCCAGCCAGGCGCCCCCTATAGTTTGTTTTTGATACACAAATACGCAAATATGAAAAACATATACTTCATACGTTTATGTAGAGTTTTTAAACAAATACAATCATAGGCTTTTAAAACTAGAGCTTTCCACATGATATTTTTCCACTAGAATGTATTCCATAAATGCATATATATATTCACAAGTATATATTTTCACAAAAGTATGAAGTCATTTAAACGATTATGTAGTAATCTCTCATATAGTTTTTTCAAATTCTATCTCACTGGCCCCTTTTTGTGTACTTATAGGTAGTTCACAGGTTCTTTGGTCTTATAAGTAATACTTCTGTGACCGTCCTCGCTCTCCAACTCTGGGAGTGCTCTAGAAGACTGCTCAGGGGCAGCCTGAGGCCGCATGCATCCCCAGGCTGCCCCTGGAAGTGTCTTCCGGAGCCCACGAGCCTGCTGCCGTCCTCCCGCCGTGAGAACGGTCATACACTCCCTTCTCCACAGTGTATAATACCTCCAGTAACTCGAGTTTATTTTATCATTCGCAAGGTGGATGTCTTTTTACACATTCACTAACCATTTATATTCTGTTGTAGTGACTTCCTCAAGTCTTTCTTTGTTATTTGATCCAGTGTTCTGTATCTATTGAGGACAGTTAACCATTCCTTAGTTAATGATGGTTTACTTTACAGTGGAATCCAGCCCATTTTGGATTGCATCAAAGTGGGTTTAGGTATTAATCTGTCAGGCACTGATGTCTATGTAGTGAGTGTAAACTCTTGAGTAAAGTATTACATAGTAAGCCTCTCTTTAGCATAAATGGAACTTGTGTAAATATATTGCTTATACATGAAAAATATCAAAGAAAAGGAGCGTTTGAAACTTAGGCTATGGTTTGTCCTAATTATCAGTTTAGTTTATGAGGTGATATATTGTCTGTGTTTAGAAAATTAGTTAAAATGAATTAAGTTGTTCAAATTGGTTGATTCAAAGCTTGGTTTTATGTTGTTAGAAAGAAGGAGCAGGTGGCAGGGAGGGGCAGAGAGACAGACTCCCTGCTGAGTGCTGAGCCCCACGTGGGGCTCAATCTCAGACCCTGAGATCATGACCTGAGTCGAAACCAAGAGTCGGACGCTCAACCCACTGAACCACCCAGGGGCCCCAATGCTTGATTGGTTTTTAATTAAATTATTTTTATGATTAAAAATGACATCTTTAAAGTGTATTTTTCAGAATTTAGTCATCAGTCTTTCTTTAATATGCAGGCTTCAGCTCCTCATTCTCTATAGTCAACTCCTTGTCAGAAGAACTGCTGGAGCATTTCCTTTTGAAAGTTTAGCTTCAAGAAAGTGAATGTTGGTAAATCATTTAGTTGTTAAAAAATCATGCTATTTAAGCTCAAGATTTACTATAATTGTAAGAGAGATTTTTACTAAATAAGACTGTATTTGATCCTTTATTTCTTATGGTCGGAATGTTTTCTCACTCATTTGGTCTATTTTAGGAAAACACTGGTGGAAATTCCTTACATGTATAATTTATACATTTTTCTTTTAGCCTGATTAGTGAACCCACAATAATTAAGTCACATAAACTCACCATGAGATTTTAATGATAAATTTCCCTTTAGTGTGTTGCTTGTATTGAGAGGAACTTCGTTTTGTATCCGCGGCACTCATCAGCACGTGGTCACTTGTCCCCGGCACAACTGTGCACGGGACAGAGCAAGCCCAGGGACATCCGCCACGGGGATGTGTGTCTGATTACAGTGCAGTTCTTCCTAGAAAATACTGTCGGTGCCTTTCTTTTCTTACAGTGAGAATTCCCGACTGGCTGCTGAGGTTTACAAAGACATGCCTGAAACCAGCTTTACCCGAACGATTTCGAATCCAGAGGTGGTCATGAAGCGTCGCCGGCAGCAGAAACTAGAGAGGAGGATGCAGGAGTTCCGGAGCTCTGACGGGCGGCCTGACTCAGGTACCCGCGGCAGGCGTCCCCTGCTGCTGACACAGACCTGGGCCTTGCGGCAGTAAAGGCACCGTGTGCCCTGTGGGTCTGCTCCAGGACCAGCTTTGCCTCAGGCACAGGAGTTCCGGTCACTTAGAGATATGTTTAGTTACATACTTTTCCCCAGTGTGGCTCTTCCTTTTTTTGTTTTTATTTCTGAATTCTGGAAAATATATATGAAAGAAGACAGAAAGATAACAATTTCCTGTGTACTTATTGCCCAGCTTCCATAGTTAATAACTCGTGTCTCATCTCTGCTCCTGCATGGATTGCTCCTCTTCCCAAACCTGGACTATTTTGAAGCAAATCCCAAATTTCTCAGTATTTCATCTTATATTTCAATATATTTTCCTAGAGGTAAGGATTCTTAAAAAATAAAAATAGAAGAAACCACAGTCGCATTGTCACGTACAAAAGAATTGAAGCCAATTCCCTAATACCATCAGCTGTCCTGTCACTGTTCACATGTTCCTGACGGCTGCAGATAATTGTCCAGTCGTGTCGAGGGCCGGGTAGAACCTGCACGCGGCACCTGCTTGGCGTGTCTGTCATTCCAGGTCCTGATCCTGTCTCTTAGCTCACCTCCAGTGTGCTTCACTGGGCATTTGGAAAACCGAGTAGGTTGTTTGTCTTGTAGATTTTGCTGACAGCATCCGGTAGTTTACCATTTTTTCCTCCTTTCTCTGTTTCCTCAATTAGGAGAAGAGGCAGGTTTAGGTTTTTGGGGGAGAGGGAGTGTGGCAGAAATACTTACCTTATTAGCATCCACAGGTGAGCAGTGTTTGTGAAATGTTTTCATGATCTGATGGAGTTAAAGCTTCTCAGTATTTTTCCATCTGTTGCAGTTACTGTCCTTCGGATTCTTGAACTGTCTTTGAGACAGCGAGGATCTCTTCCACCTGGTGCCTCGGGCTTTCGGATGGCCCCAGTGGTCTTGGAGCATCTTCCTGTGTGACAGGACATCTAGGCTCACCTAGTGCATTTCTTGCCTCAGGCTAGGAAGCTGCTGTTTCTCCAAGGAGTCCTTGTTCTTTTCAGTGGGATCAGTATTGGATTGCTAAGAGTGCTCCTCCTTACTGGCTCGTGTTTGCTTTTAATCTTATTTAGTGGACAGAGCTGGAAATACTTTTAATACCTTTTTTTTCCCACTACTTTGATTTCAGAAAATCTGAGTATCTTTTCTCTTATAAAAATTCTTCCCACCTAACACCAATAACAATTATTTGCTTTTCCCTATGATAAATAGTAATATGAAAATAAAAATAATACTGTTATTAACAATATGATACTAAAAAATTTTAAGCTTTTTGGGAGACTTGTCTGTGAGTATATATAAGGATGTACTGTCAAATTACTGTGTTTTTGAAATCACAGAATTGATTCCTGTCTATGTAGTTATAAGCTCATATTCATTTATACTTAGGTTTGTTTTATTTTGCTTTTGATTTTAGAGGTTTGCTTCTTAAAAATTTAATGTACTGTAATAGTTCCCAAGTCAAATCTACTAAACAAGGTATATGTAGAGAAGTTCAGCTTTTGCCCCCGTCAGCCCCTTTAATTACATGGCAGCGTGCTATGTACACTCTTCTCCCACCTTGTCTTTTCCATTTACCGGCATACACTAGAGATTACTCTGTTTCTGAGGGAAATACAGAGTATAAAGAGAGTTAAAACAAACGACTTTACTGTTTTAGCTATAAATTGAACTCATGTACTTTTAGCTATTTAGCTGTTTGACATAAAACTTTTATTTGTAATTAACCTATAATTGTATTCAGCAAAGAAAATATTTGTTAGAAACTAAGTTTTGCTTGTTAAAAAATGATAGCATAAATCATTTTGAGTTTTAAAAAGAAGCCTTGTACGAGAGGACTATATCACTGATCCAGCCTTTTCTACGAATGTCTGAGCTCACAGGACCCACCCGCTCTGCAGTCCTTCCTAACCTTATGCTCGTGGACCTGAGAACGGCTTGTGTCGTGTTGCATCCTCTACACCTGTTAGCTCACTTACTCGGTTTAGGGTTTTGAATGTTGGGACTGCCAGGGTTTCTCTCTTTTTTTTTTTTTTAAAGATTTATTTATTTTGAGAGAGTGAGAAAGAGAGAGAGAGAGAGAGAGAGCACATGAGAGGGGGGAGGGCCAGAGGGAGAAGCAGGTTCCTCGCTGAGCAGGGAGCCCGATGTGGGACTCGATCCCGGGACTCCAGGATCATGACCTGAGCCGAAGGCAGTCGCTTAACCAACGGAGCCACCCAGGCACCCACTGCCAGCGTTTCTCTAACTGTGGACTCCTTCTCTTGAGTCCAAGCCTGAGTCAAAGAGTTTTAACCCCTACCCAGATCACGTTTGTAACTATAATCCAATATACCTATGTGGCAGCAGGTCAGATCCGGCAAGGGGGGCTATGTTGACACTCGTATTACGTTCATGCGAACAGCGTTCTTCTCTCTCCTTAGTAAGTCTCTCTCATCTCCATTCATGAAGTTGTCTGTGGACCATGGTTCTGATATGATAGGCTCACTTGACAGAAACTGCCAGTGATTCCATGTCTTCGGAACTTACAGATAGGGCACTCCCTCCGTGTAGTGTTACCCACGGCCGCTAGCCCTGATTGGAAGCTGGCTCCATCACGTGATTACTTTGATCCTCAGCGCCCTTCTGAGTCTTAGTTATATGTTTCGTGGGAGCTGTAGTGTCAGTGATTCAAAACAGCTAGGAGAGTGGGCTACTTATTAGTTCCATAAATAATGTAACAGATTACCTCTGAGATCCAGATGATGATCTGTTTCTATATATCCTATCTTGTTTGATGAAAGATTCGAAATAACTTAGAAATACATGCACTAAGGAAAATAAAATGAAGAGGAGGGAAAGAAAATACAAAGATGAAGAAAGGTAATAAAATCTTTGAAAGAACAAGAGGAATGCTCAGAGATGCCTAACATAATGCTGACCCATTGCTTGACAGACCTGGAGGGATTCTCATAGGAAGGAGTTTGACATGATCAAAATGATCATTTCCTCTGATTCCTTGAGGAATATTCAAGTATGCTCAGGGACGTGTAAGTCGTGATAAACATAGCTAGCTGAGAGGATCCATTTTTGTAAGTAACTTAATAAAATATTTTTAGAGGAAATACGCTTTTAATGTGGATTAGGATGTAACATTTATATGTATTGTTACAGGAAACTGCATGTCACGTCAGGCTGTGCCCACAGAGACCCATATTTATTGGGAAAATTTGGGAAAATTGGATGGAAAAATTGGATATGATCTGTTAATGAGCTGCTGAAGAGTTTTAAGGTGGGGATTCAGAAGGGTTTTAATTTAGCCTAAGCTTCAGGTCCGGAGTGGTTACTGTGGGAGCAGAATAGAGGATGGATCTGAGGGAACTGCGGTTGGAAATGAGTGCGTGCTGCCCACGTGAGGGATGGGTTTCTGAGCACAGCTGCTGGGAGCGGCTGGTCAGACAGAAGTCATGTACCAAAGCCTGGTGCAGACTGTAACACCCGTTTCCAGCCAGATGCATGTTGACGGACTGCAATGAGAGAATATTTGGGAGCGGAAGACAGGTTTCGTGGAGCTGCTGGTGTGATCTGGGGGGTGTTCTGAGCTGGTAGTTGAGTGGCACGAGACCAGGTTCTGCCCAGCAGTGTCAGATGGAGAGAGAGATTTGGGAGTAATCTGTGGTTGCCAGACAGCAACACTGGGCATGGGTGAGATTCTTTTTGGTAGACAGTATACAGGTAATATAGAAGAATTTAAGGGAAGGCCACTGTTAAGAGGAGTAGGCAAGGACAAGGGGGAAAAAAAAAAAACCTCCAAAGAATTAGGAGGAAAACTAGCAGAACATCCAAGAAGTAGAGGTTAAAGAGATAGTTGGGAGCAGAAGGAACCTTTTTCTATATAGGCTCCCAGGAAACCCTAAAAAACTAAATATTATTAGCAAAATAGCTGTTTATGGCTAATGTTAAGGACATCAGATATATTAAGTTCAGGTATTTTGTTTGTCTTTAATAAATGACTTAGAAAATATATTTTCATAATCTGTTATAGTTACTAGCTTGGCTGTTTCATTGGTAGAAAATATGGGGGACGTGGTCAATGTGGGTAGGGTTTCTGAGACTGACAGCTCAGTCTATTATTTTCCTGTCTGGTTAGCCTGAGGATTGGCTCCCTGAATTCTCATGACTTGACTCACTACACAGCTGATCAGACTCCTAGCTTGTAAGAAGCTTGGACCCTGGACGTTATAAAGCCTTTTTAACACTCGGGTCTATACACTTTGTGATCCTCAAAGTGCAGTTGGCCCCGAAATGCCCTGTATATGTCAGTTAATTGGTTTGTGGCACTGTCTTGCTATCAGCTAAGGCCGTGGATTTCTTACTGAGACATCGTTGGCAGCAGCGTGAGGCTTTTCTAGGAGCCGCTTTGGGAGCTGCAGGGCACAGTGACAGGGATCCCGTAGTTGGGGTCCTCGAGAGCTGTAGGCCTCGGTGTGCCCCTTTTCAGAGCAGGGTAGCAGTCCTGCTTAGTCTCAGAGCTGAAACATAGATTTATACAGATCGATTTCAGTCCATTGTAGGGATTTTAAATTGTTAGCTGCTCCTCTCTTCTTCCTTAGCAAATTGGGTGGTATGTATCTCTACGAGGGGGACACTGTGGTGTTAGGCTCATCAACTGAAAACCTTTTGAATTGGACTCCACACTCATTATACTAAAACCAAGTAAAGTTTTAGATATTCTGAAACATTCAGATGGATGCTAAAAGTCATTCCATCCAGTAACTAAGTTCATTTGGCCAGTGAATATGAATTTTACAGCTACCTTATCATGATGTGTCCTTTAGAAGTGCTACTTAAAATCATGTTATCAAAAAAATAAATAAATAAAATAAAATTATGTTATCTGTAGGAACCATACTGACTTTTTAAATGATTTTCTGGTAAAACCTGTCCTTAAATTTTTTCAGACCAAATAGTCTTTCATCCTCTAAGGTCTGTAACTTTGGGATTGTAAAGTACTTGGCTTTTAGCAGATGCAAAGTTTTTTAGAAAAATTAAATTTCTGACCATTTGCATTTTTTTGTAGCCATCTCGTCAGCTTTCAAAACAGGTGGTCTGGTTTGCTCTTTGGTTGTCTAAAGCACACAGAGATGTTACCTCAGTCTACAAAATTGTTTTCTGCTCTTTCTCTTATACGTGTTTTTCTTATAAATTAATTCAAATATGCATCTGGAAGTGTAGAGTGTAATTAAATCAGAAGGGAATGCGTTTGGTAGAATAGGATACGTGCTTCAAAACCTGCCTCCCTGCTGGGGCTGTCATCCCCACTGCAGCTGTCCTTTGCCTAGAAGCCGGGGCCTCTTCGAGAGCACGAGGGGGGTTGTGCGCACTCCCTACACACATAGGCATGGGTTCGCTCTTTCTTGCCTCTGCGCACGCACAGAGCCCAAGCCTCCCAGTGGCTCCCGCTTCACCTAGAGTCAAATCCAGACTCTCTCGATTGTGGTCTGGCCTCGGCCAGTCTCACTGCATTTCCCTCTTTTCACCTGGGGTTCATCTCTGGCCGGTGAGCCCAGCCAGACCCACGCTAGCTGTAGGCCTTGGCACCTGCTTGTCGCTCTGCCCAGGAAGCTCTTGAGGTGGCCATGAGGCTGCTGCATGTCCCTCAGGGCTCGTGGCAGGTGTTCATCTTCATAGAAGGCTTTACAGTCCCAGGAGCTTAGGAAGCTCCTGGTCATTTTCTTTCTTACAACCCTGCTTATGTTTTCCACAACATGTACCACTGTCTGACCTGTTCATCGCTGTGTCCTCGGCATTGGAACATGGGGGCCCCCAGTCTGCGTAAGTTTGTATGTGGTTAAATGCTTTGACAGGCAGCGCTATCAAAACACTGTGGAGTTGCTTCCTTTTCTCATCCTTTACCCATAGTGAAAATCGGTTCATCATTATAAAAATTACTTGGGCTTGAAGAGAGGACAGAAAGTGTCTTTGTCATGCAGGATTATTCACTATAGCAAAGTGTTGATAGATCAACAAGTGACTGTAAATGTCTGTTTAACAGGACATGAATATAGAAGTATTACACAGATTCCGTCTTTGTACTCCTTGCAACTGGAACTTAGGTGCCCTTTTTTAAAGTGATCATAATTGTTAGCTATCTTTGTTACTGGAATAAAATAAAGTAGTGCTCAAAGATGTCAAAATGTTTTTTTTCAGGTGGAACATTGAGAATTTATGCAGATAGTTTAAAACCAAATATTCCCTACAAGACAATCCTGCTGTCTACCACAGATCCTGCAGACTTTGCTGTGGCTGAAGCTTTAGAGAAATACGGTCTGGAAAAAGAAAATCCTAAGGATTACTGCATTGCCCGGGTAAGTAACTATCAAATCAGAACTTACCAGTATTACACATGCTACAACTTCACATTTAAGTGGAAAGATATTCTTTATTTTTATTTTTTTATTTTTTTATTATGTTAATCACCATACATCACGTCATTAGCCATTGTTTGTGCTCCATGTAGAACATGCCCTCTTTAATACCCATCACCAGGCTAACCCATCCCCCCACCACCTCCCCTCTAGAAACCTCAGTTTGTTTTTCACAATCCATCGTCTCTCATGATTCGTCTCCCTCTCCAATTTACTCCCCTTCGTTCTTCCCCTCCTGCTATCTTCTTTTTTTTTTTCTTAACGTATATTGCATTATTTGTTTCAGAGGTACAGATCTGTGATTCAACAGTCTTGCACAATTCACAGTGCTCACCATGGCACATACCCTCCCCAATGTCTATCACCCAGCCACCCCATCCCTCCCACCCCCAACCACTCCAGCAACCCTCAGTTTGTTTCGTGAGATTAAGAATTCCCCATATCACTGAGGTCATATGATACATGTTTTTCTCTGATTGACTTATTTCACTCAGCATAACACCCTCCAGTTCTATCCATGTCATTGCACATGGCAAGATCTCATTCCTTTTGATGGCTGCATAATATTCCATTGTATATACATATACCACCTCTTCTTTATCCATTCATCTGTCGATAGACACCTTGGCTCTCTCCCCAGTTTGGCTATTGTGGACATTGCTGCTATAAACATTGGGGTGCATGTACCCCTTCGGGTCCCTACGTTTGTGTCTTTGGGGTAAATACCCAGTAGTGCAATTGTTGGATCGTATGGTAGCTCTATTTTCAACTGTTTGAGGAACCTCCACACTGTTTTCCAGAGTGGTTGCACCAGCTTGCATTCCCACCAACAGTGTGGGAGGGTTCCCCTTCTCCACATCCCCGCCAACATCTGTCATTTCCTGACTTGTTAATTTTAGCCATTCTGACTGGCGTGAGGTGGTATCTCATTGAGGTTTTGACTTGGATTTCCTTGAAGCCGAGCGATGTTGAGCACTTTTTCATGTGTCTGTTGGCCATTTGGATGTCTTCTTTGGGACAATGTCTGTTCATGTCTTCTGCCCATTTCTTGATTGGATCATTTGTTCTTTGGGTGTTGAGTTTGATAAGTTCTTTATAGATTTTGGATATGAGCCCTTTATCTCATAGGTCATTTGCAAATATCTTCTCCCATTCTGTCGGTTGTTTTTTGGTTTTGTTGACTGTTTCCTTTGCTGTGCAAAAGCTTTTAATTTGAAGTATCAATAGTTCATTTTTGCCCTGGCTTCCCTTGCCTTTGGCGATGTTTCTAGGAAGAAGTTGCTGCGGCTGAGGTCGAAGACGTTGCTTCCTGTATTCTCCTTTAGGATTTTGATGGACTCCTGTCTCACATTTAGGTCTTTCAACGATTTGGAGTCTATTTTTGTGTGTGGTGTAAGGAAATCGTCCAGTTTCATTCTTCTGCATGTGGTTGCCAATTTTCCCAACACCATTTGTTGAAGAGACTTGTCTTTTTTCCATTGGACATTCTTTCCTGCTTTGTCGAAGATTAGTTGACCATAGAGTTGAGGGTACATTTCTGGGCTCTCTATTCTGTTCCATTGATCGATATGTCTGTTTTTGTGCCAGTACCATACTGTCTTGATGATGACAGCTTTGTAATAGAGCTGGAAGTCCGGAATTGTGATGCCGCCAGCTTTGCTTTGCTTTTTCAACATTCCTCTGGCTATTCGGGGTCTTTTCTGGTTCCATACAAATTTTAGGATGATTTGTTCCATTTCTTTGAAAAAGGTGGATGGTATTTTGATGGGGATTGCATTGAATGTGTAGATTGCTCTAGGTAGCATAGACATCTTCACAATGTTTGATCTTCCAATCCATGAGCAGGGAACGTTTTTCCATTTCTTTGTGTCTTCTTCAATTTCTTTCATGAGTATTTTATAGTTTTCTGAGTACAGATCCTTTGCCTCTTTGGTTACATTTATTCCTAGGTATCTTATGGTTTTGGGTGCAATTGTAAATGGGATCGACTCCTTAATTTCTCTCTCTTTTGTCTTGTTGTTGGTGTATAGGAATGCCAGATTTCTGTGCATTGATTTTATATCCTGCCACTTTACTGAATTCCTGCATGAGTTCTAGCAGTTTTGGGGTGGAGTCTTTTCGGTTTTCCACATAAAGTATCATATCATCTGCAAAGAGTGAGAGTTTGACTTCCTCTTTGCCGATTTGGATGCCGATGATTTCTTTTTGTTGTCTGATTGCTGTGGCTGGGACTTCTAATACTATGTTGAATAGCAGTGGTGATAGTGGACATCCCTGCCGCATTCCTGACCTTAGGGGGAAAGCTATCAGTTTTTCCCCATTGAGTCTGATATTCGCTGTGGGTTTTTTATAGATGGCTTTTATGATATTGAGATATGTACCCTCTATCCCTATACTCTGAAGAGTTTTGATCAAGAAAGGCTGCTGTACTTTGTCTAATGCTTTTTCTGCATCTATTGAGAGGATCATATGATTCTTGTTCTTTCTTTGTTAATGTACTGTATCACGTTGATTGATTTGCAGATGTTGAACCAACCTTGCAGCCCAGGGATAAATCCCACTTGGTCGAGGTGAATAATCCTTTTAATGTACTGTTGGATCCTATTAGCTAGTATTTTGGTGAGAATTTTTGCATCCATGTTCACCAAGGATATTGGTCTGTAGTTCTCCTTTTGGATGGGGTCTTTGTCTGGTTTGGGGATCAAGGTAATGGTGGCCTCATAAAATGAGTTTGGAAGTTTCCCGTCCATTTCTATTTTTTGGAACAGTTTCAGGAGAGTAGGTATTAATTCTTCCTTAAATGTTTGGTAGAATTCCCCTGAGAAGCCATCTGGCCCCGGGCTTTTGTTTGTTGGGAGATTTTTGATGACTGCTTCAATTTCCTTAGTGGTTATAGGTCTGTTCAGGTTTTCTATTTCTTGCTGGTTCAATTTTGGTAGTTGCTACATCTCTAGGAATTCATCCATTTCTTCCAGGTTATCTAATTTGCTGGCATATAGTTGCTCATAATATGTTCTTATAATTGTTTGTATTTCTTTGGTGTTGGTTGTGATCTCTCCTCTTTCATTCATGATTTTGTTGATTTGGGTCATTTCTCTTTTCTTTTTGATAAGTCTGGCCAGGGGTTTATCAATCTTGTTAATTCTTTCAAAGAACCAGCTCCTAGTTTCATTGGTCTGTTCTACTGTTCTTTTGGTTTCTAGTTCATTGATTTCTCATCTGATCCATATTATTTCTCTTCTCCTGCTGGGTTTAGGCTTTATTTGCTGTTTTTTCTCTAGCTCCTTTAGGTGTAGGGTTTAGGTTGTGTATTTGAGACCTTTCTTATTTCTTGAGAAAGGCTTGTATTGCTATATACTTTCCTCTCAGGACTGCCTTTGCTGTATCCCAAAGATTTTGAACAGTTGTGTTTTCATTTTCATTGGTTTCCATGAATTTTTTAAATTCTTCTTTAATTTCCTGGTTGACCCATTCATTCTTTAGTAGGATGCTCTTTAGCCTCCATGTATTTGAGTTCTTTCCGACTTTCCTCTTGTGATTGAGTTCTAGGTTCAAAGCATTGTGGTCTGAAAATATGCAGGGAATAATCCCAATCTTTTGGTACCGGTTGAGACCTGATTTGTGACCTAGGATGTGATCAATTCTGGAGAATGTTCCATGGGCACTAGAGAAGAATGTGTATTCCGTTGCTTTGGGATGGAATGTTCTGAATATGTCTGTGAAGTCCATTTGGTCCTGTGTGTCATTTAAAGTCTTTATTTCCTTGCTGATCTTTTGCTTAGATGATCTGTCCATTTCAGTCAGGAGGGTGTTAAAGTCCCCCACCTTTATTGTATTGTTGTCAATGTGTTTCTTTGCTTTTGTTATTAATTGCCTTATATAAGTGGCTGCTCCCATGTTAGGGGCATAGATATTTACAATTGTTAGATCTTCTTGTTGGATAGACCCTTTAAGTAGGATATAGTGTCCTTCCTCATCTCTTATTACAGTCTTTGGTTTAAAATCTAATTTGTCTGATATAAGGATTGCCACCCTGGCTTTCTTTTGGTGTCCATTAGCACGGTAGATGGTTTTCCACCCCCTCACTTTCAATCTGGGGGTGTCTTTGTGTCTAAAATCAGTCTCTTGCAGCCAGCATATCGATGGGTCTTGTTTTTTAATCCAATCTGATAGCCTGTGTCTTTTGATTGGGACATTTAGCCCATTTACAATCAGGGTAACTCTTGAAAGATATGAATTTAGTGCCATTGTATTGCCTATAAGGTGACTGTTACTGTATATTGTTTGTGTTCCTTTCTGGTCAATGTTGCTTTTAGGCTCTTTGCTTAGAGGACCCCTTTCAATATTTCTTGTTGGGCTGGTTTCGTGTTTGCAAATTCCTTTAGTTTTTGTTTGTTCTGGAAGCTTTTTATCTCCCCTTCTATTTTCAATGAGAGCCTAGCTGGATATAGTATTCTTGGCTGCATATTTTTCTCGTTTAGTGCTCTGAAGATATCATGCCAGTCCTTTCTGGCCTGCCAGGTCTCTGTGGATAGGTCTGTTGCCAATCTAATGTTTCTACCATTGTAGGTTACATATCTCTTCTCCCGAGCTGCTTTTAGGATTTTCTCTCTGTCTCTGAGACTCGTAAGTTTTACTATTAGATGTCCGGGTGTTGACCTATTTTTATTGATTTTGAGAGGGGTTCTCTGTGCCTCCTGGATTTTGATGCCTGTTTCCTTCCTCACATTAAGGAAGTTCTGTGCTATCATTTGCTCCAATATACCTTCTGCCCTCTCTCTTTCTTCTTCTGGGATCCCAATTATTCTGATGTTGTTTCATCTCATAGTATCGTTTATCTCTCGATTTCTGCCCTTGTGATCCTGTAGTTGTTTCTCTTTTTCTCGGCTTCTTTATTTTCCATCATGTGGTCTTCTATATCCCTGATTCTCTCTTCTGCC